AACGTTTATATACAATCACTACATCAAACACTACCTAAGAGTAAGAGAAGCTAAGGAATGTACGTCTTAGGCCATGAATAAGTCTTCCCACGCGGAGTTGATATATCATAACTTCTTTGATGTAGAGGCCTTTAAGTCAAGTCAATTAATTTCACTTTCATACTGGCTGGCTATATTAAACATTCTTTAATTTCCTTCTAATTTCCTAGATGTAGATGGGTTTGGTTTGAGTGGCTTAACTTGCTAGTCAATATAGCAAGTGGATTCAAATTAGAGCTAAATTCTTGGCAGTGTATAGAAAAATAGGCCACTGATGGGCCATAGCTTATGTACATAAGAGATGTATATATAATTGGACCCTTTTTCATGGCAAAAAGTAGGAAAAAAAAAAAGAGAGATACATCAACTAAATTTCTTTAGTTTTCCATTTCAACATAATGTCATTTATATCAGCCCTTCACCATGCATGATCTTCTTGCATCTCTAAGAGTAAAAAAATCTAAACACAAGAACAAATTATATGGTGTCCTCTTTTGCTCACTTCTTGTTTTCCACTGTCTTGCTAGTTTTTTTCTTTCAACCATGTTTCCAACATTCATTGTGTCGGAGAGATGAGCGCCTTGCCTTGTTACAATTCAAGGAAAGCTTTGTCATTGATAAGCATGCTTCTTATGATGATCCTATTTGTTAAACTAAATCATCGTATAGGTAGATTAGAAATATCTTGGAATATAGAAAGAAATCAGATTTTGGAGTTGTAGTGTTTTATGTTTCTGTACCTTTCATACTGTAAAAAAAATTAACCCTCTTAAGTGGGGGTCCTTTCCCCCTGATTGTCTGGTGTTTGTTCCACATCATCCTTACGTGTGTTAGTTAAGTGGTATATATGAAATTCCACACAACTGCAAATTAATCGGTTTTGGAGTTGTGGTGTATCCTATTCCCGTACTTTTCATATTTTTCAAAAAAAAAAAAAAATCAGAATGAGACTCTACACATTAAAATTATTTATCAAATTCATCCTCAAAGATTTTGATTAAAAAACCTTTTCTTAGGGGAAAAAAAATAAAAACCCTTGTTTTTTTCTCTTCATGAGATTGAGCTGTGATATTAATTACACTCTCAATTTATTTTTAGTAAATTTAATTTGATTTTTTGGTTTTTTAGACATGAATTTTAGATAAAAATTTAACATATTATATAAATAATAATTAAATTTTTTT